CTTGGTCGATGAAACACTAGAGTTTAATATATACAAAAAAGGTTTTGCGTCCAATTCAAATGCGCGCGTTCAAAATTGACAAATCTCTTGCACTCGCACTAGGCTTTTTCTTTTCCACTTCAGACTTCACCGTAAATCATCCGAATTTTTTGACACAACGAGTGATATTCGAAGGGTGCAAAGATTCGATGAAAACCAATCTATTTTAAGAAACTTAATAATTTTGAATGCGAAACATAAAAACTTTTGAACGCTGTTGAAAAAGTTACAGTAGTAAAAGTCCGCAGGGGTAAGAAAAAGAGCCGAGCACAATTTTACTCACGCTACTTTTTTTTCTTACTTTCTGTTACTTTTTTCGATCTTGTTATCAATGACAGCAGAAAATTCGCAGAAAAATGTGAGCCAGGGTAGTTTTCAGACAAGACTCAACATGGCAGCATGTTTAAAACCAACCTGCCAACCTGTCAACGCCCGCACTTTAACTAACCCCCCATCTGAGCTAACAACCCCCCCCCCCCCTCTCCACCAGGGAGTAGAAAAAAGCAACAGTTTAAAGGTAGTTTGTTACCCTAATGCTTTGATTTAGCGTAAAATAGTGAAGTGATTCTCGCTTTTTCTTGGTTTCGACGATAAGGAAAAGGTCTTTGAAGGTTCTCAAATTTGACCTATCGCTGTTTGACGTACATTTTTCAAAGTTCTCTTCATTTTGTTTGTTATACGAAGACTAACTTTACCATTGAATAGACAAAGTTAAAAAATCATTAAAAACATGGATGACTTCTTATTTCAAAAACAGACTATTTTAATTTTCTGGATTCACACCAGAATATAAAATTAATAATTGATTTAAATAATTTGTTTATTTTTAATTGATTTAAATATTTAACAGGTTTCTCTAAATGTGATAGCTTTACAAAAAAAGTACGATAAAAATTGTATTTAAAATCAAAAGAGCTTCAAATGTTGAAAAAAATTGAAAAAAAGGAATATAAAAAAATGTTCAAAATTCGAAAAATAAAAAAATCCGAAAATAAAAAATGATGGAAACTGAAAAAAAAAAAATTAAATCGAATTTTAGAAAACATGGGGTTAATGTAAATTTTCAATTTTTTAATTGTCTGTTTGCTTTGCTGATATTTTTTCGTATCACCACCTTAAAGAGAGAAAATAATCACAAAAGAAGAAAACATTACAGATTCAGATCAGTAGTGCTCAAATTTTATCAAGAAAACAATATTTTTTGCTCAAGGTTGCCAAACTTTTTTCGAAGGAGTTGTTTTGGCTCGCTCGATATTATTCTGAGAATTTAGTAGACGCCAGCACTTTTCTTTCTGGGTATGTTTTCTTTAAAATAAAAATCTTTCGGGCAAAACAATGATATTTTCACTTTTTGACGATTTTTGTCTTCTTCGTTTTGATTTAGATCATTCCTTGAACAAAATTCAAGTGGGTGACGAAGCAGAAAGTCGAGATGATTTTTTGAGAATT